CAATGGCCACTTCATGACTCTAATTGAACTTGACTACAAGCTTTAGCTTCTTTTCTCTTCCCCTTTTTTCCTCTTCCTCTTCCTCCTTGAAGTCCTCGTCTAGGTAGTCATCATAGTTAATGTTGTATTGCATATTCTATCGCTAAAGACTCTGCTAGGGCTCAAATTTTGGCCTCATTACTGGTGAGACTCCTTGCCATGCCAGATTTGCCTTTGATGGCCTCCCTTTCTTCTTCCTCTTCACGATCTACCCCATCTCCCTCCAAACCTCTGTGCTTTTTCACTTTCTCGCCCTAAAAAACTCCTGTTTCTCTCTCTCTCTCTTTTTTTTTTTTTTTTTTAAGCTTTCTTTCTCTCTCTATGTCTCTACTTCAATATTTATGCCTAGATTGGGAGAATTCTTAAGAAGCATTTGAATTTTTTTAGAGAAAGTTTTGATTTTTTTGGAGCAAAAAGGGAAAGGGGGGAGAGTAAGTGGAGTAGGAGTGGATGGGAGTGAGATGACGATCTAGGTTTCTAGAAAGGAACTTACCTTTTTTGCAAGAAAAAGAAGATGAAGAAGAGGAGTTGCAACTCAAACAAAATAGATCCCTAATTATATTTGACCAAACAAAAAGGGTATAAAAGTAAATTAGAACATTAGTCACAAGGAGTCCAACAAAGCATCCATCTTAGCAAAAAAAAATATATATAGGTTAAATGCAAAGCAAGGGTTGATGGGTGGAACATTAAGTTTTAACGGGTTTTAATGGGTTTTAACGTATTGATGATGTTAAGCTACATAGAGGGACTGATTTGCCACCGAAGGCAAGTTGAGAGGCCCTTTTGCATGTGAACTGACTTTAGGGGTTGATTTGCCACCACATGACAAGTTGAGGGGCTAATTTGCATGTTTGGCCTAGAAAGAAAACACATCATCAATGCCAAGGACTTGAAAATCAAAATGTTGGAAAAAAAACTATCCGTAGGATGGGACCTTGTTATCAATTTTTTCCTTTTCTTATTTGTGGTCCAAGGTGTGAAAAATTTGGTCCGTTTAGATTTTAGCCTAAACATCAATGTCATCCATGTACATTATTGAAATTGCCTGTGTAGTGAGAGTAATTGCTACGGAATGTTCATTTCATCCATCAATGTTCCTAACTTCCAATCAACGAGCATTTAAATGGCTCACCCTATAGGAAAGGCAATTTCTAGTATATAAAAGGTCTCAACGGTCCCATAAATGATCCGTTAAAGAAAATAAGGTTAAAATGTTCTTTGCCGTTGCCTCTTTTCCCCTTGTAGTTAGGGTAGGTAGTTAATCGTGGGACTTCTTATCTCTTGAGGGTTTTTCTTCTCTTGTAGAGGGGGAATTTTTTTTTTTTTTTGAGTTTTTATTTTGATTTTCTCAATAGTTTCTATCAGAATTTACTATTATTAAAAGAGGATGATAATTTAAATATGATTTTAGTTAAAATCAGATTAATTGTTATGTTTATTTTAATTATTATAAGCATAGTTGGCGATAGGGTCTTTATTTAAATTTTTTTCTCCAATCAATTTATATAGATAATACTAAAATGTGATTTAATTATTAAATCTTAAACTCAAATCTAATCAATTAGTTATACTATTCATATAAATATTAAATTATTTAATTTTATATTTTTATATATTTTATAAATATAATACCTTTAATTATTACTCCATTGATCTTATAATTTTTATAATTTTCATATATTAATAAAATTCCATCTCATAAAAAAAGAAAAAAAGAAAAAAGAGGAAGGTACTCTTTCGTCCGTCTCAAAGACGTCATTAGTGTACATTTACCCCTACACCATGTAGCATATACCGTGGACCATGGTATCCTACCTGATTTTTTCCTATTCATCATGTATATTCATCACAATTTTTTTTTTTTTTTGAACATTCATATTCATCACAAATTGAATTGTAGATTTTTTCGGTTATATATATCTGGATAATCTTTTATATATATTTTTTATTTATTTATAATTTTCATATATAGAGACATACAATATTACTGTTATTAAATACATTTAAAAATGTACCCAAAAAAAAAAAAACATTTAAAAGTGCAAGAAAAAGTTTATGAAAAAGTGGATCCTCAATCATCCTCCACTTTGAAATTAGCCATTCCACCATCTTCTCCGATCCTAAAACCGTGATCCAGAAACAACGAAGATCCATCCAAACCCCATCAAGCTTCCTTCTTCCGCCACACTGCCACCCAAGAAATGGGCAAAAAGGCACTCTTGATCGGATGCAACTACCCCGGTACCAAGGCAGAGCTCAAGGGATGCATAAACGACGTCCGGAGAATGTACAAGTGCCTCGTCGATCGATACGGTTTCTACGAGGAAGACATCACCGTCCTCATCGACACCGATGACTCCTACACTCAGCCCACCGGCAAGAACATCCGCAAGGCCTTCAGTGATCTCGTCCGCTCCGCTGAGCCTGGGGACTTTCTCTTTGTTCACTACAGTGGACATGGAACCAGGCTTCCAGCTGAGACAGGGGATGATGACGATACCGGATATGATGAGTGCATTGTCCCCTCCGACATGAATCTCATCACTGGTATTATCTGTGTTAAATTTTCCTTCTTCCTTGATTATTGGGTTCCTCGATCGTATTGAATTATGGGTTTTTTTTTTAATGGATTCTTGTCTTATGTGGAACGCATCTAAATTCGTTGATTCTTTTGAGTATACCGTCTATATAAGGTAATTTCTTCTTAATTGTTCTAACAGAGTAGAAGTACATCCAATGATCTTCTTTCTTAAATCCCTCCTCACCCCCTCTCAAGGACGGAAACATCTCTAATTGTGACTCTTAAATTCTTATCCATTGAGACACCTTGGTGGGGTTCTGTAATTATGAGTAGGTGTTAGATCTTTGTTCTGATTATGGGATTTTCTTGTGTGTTTGAATGTGGGTGATGGCTTGTTTATTGATCTTCTTGATCATTGGGGGTCATGGGTCTTGTTGGGTGATTTGCTTCATTGCTTGTTATTTTTTATGATAAATATGCTATGTATCTTGCCATCTTGGTCTATGATGAATTTTCTATTTAAAATGGTTTAGTTACTGTTCTTAGGTGATGAGATCACAAGATCAAACTCTAATCTTTGTTCTCCGATCTTTGATAGTGTTTTCATTTAATATCCACATGCAAAAGCCGCATTTTATATTGACAAAATGTACTTTGACAAATGATTTATGTATGATGATTGTGAATTTCACTATGAATTTAGTTTTTTTAAGGTCTCATGGTCATGAAGATAACAAAAGAGGGCAAAATCTTGCTTTTTTCCTTTTTTTATGTTAAGCAATATTTAAAGTTTGATTGTGTCAAAATTTCTTCAAGTTTGTTCAAGAATAGTTATTTTAATTAAGCAAATGACAAAGCTAGCCCTGTCAACAAATGTTACTATTGTTGGAGGCATTTTGAACATGGTTTTGCCTAGTTTGTAGGTCTGGACTTCTTTGTCATTTGACTGCCTAAGAAAATTGATATTGATGGTCTTGTAAGTTGTAGATTTGCTTGATGATCAACCGTTCTGTTTTATGACCAAGTTTATGTTTCTAAATGACAATTGTGGCATGTACTACAGATGATGACTTCAGAGAGTTTGTGGAGAAAGTCCCAGAAGGTTGTCGCATAACAATTGTATCTGATTCTTGCCACAGTGGTGGGCTGATTGACGAGTCTAAGGAGCAGATTGGAGAGAGCACAAGGCATGAAGAATCAAGTTCTGGTTTTGGGTTCAAGGACTTCTTGCACCACAAAGTGCAAGATGCATTTGAATCTCGTGGGATTCACATCCCTTCTGGATTGCGCCACCACCATGAGGAAGAGGAAGGCAATGATAGAGGAGTTTCTGAAGAGGGATATGGTGATTATGGCTATGTAAAAAATAAGTCTCTGCCGCTCTCAACTCTTATTGAAATACTCAAGCAGAAAACTGGTAAAGATGACATTGATGTGGGAAAGCTCAGGCCAACCCTTTTTGATGTCTTTGGTGAGGATGCAAGCCCCAAAGTGAAGAAATTCATGAATGTCATCTTTAACAAACTCCAGCAAGGTGATGGTGAAAGTGGAGGTGGTGGTGGTTTCTTTGGGATGGTTGGTGGTCTGGCACAAGAGTTTCTCAAGCAAAAGCTGGATGACAATGATGAATCATATGCCAAACCTGCATTGGAGACACAAGTGGGCAGCAAGCAAGAGGTTTATGCTGGATCAACCAAGCGCTCATTACCTGATGATGGGATTTTGATCAGTGGCTGTCAGACCAACCAAACTTCTGCAGATGCCAGTCCTTCGGGACATTCTGCTGAAGCTTATGGGGCCCTTAGCAATGCAATTCAGACAATACTTGCTGAGGCTGATGGTCCTGTTACTAACCAGGAGCTTGTTTTCAAGGCTAGGGAAATGCTTAAGAGACAGGGTTTCACTCAGCGCCCTGGCCTCTATTGTGGTGACAATCATGTTGATGCTCCATTTGTGTGCTGATCGACCCTAAAATGAATATTTTCCAGATATCATAATAAATAATTTGATCTATGTTTGCATTATGCAAGTGCGTGTCTGTTATCCTTGAACTGTCCGGTTTGCCGTTTGGATGTTGTAGACAGTAAAAGTTGTGCAGAAATGAATTTCTATTGCAGTTATAAATTTGAATGACAATTTTGTTACTAGTCCGGCCAAGTAATTTCATCCTAGGGATCATAGTATTTTTCCCTTTATGACAATGTGGATAACATACAAAATTATATGTTAAAAAATGGAGCTATTGTTAAAAAAAAAAAAAAATGTCAGTAAGGCTGCACAACTCCATAACAGTGCAGATCAATTTTTCTTGTCCTTTCTGTGCAAAGCTCATGCTGCTTCCATTTCACTTACTTGTTTCCTGACAAAAATGGCAGCGTTAAGCAAAATGAGTGATGCTATATTTTAATCCTCAGTATCTTGAACCCATGCCAAATCTGCAAGCAAGATTTTTTAAGTTGTGCAGGTTTTATTTATTTCCTCTCC